TTCGACCGCCATGTTGAAACCATGATCGTATTAACTTCAATTGTTTTAAATTAAAAGTACAATTGTGAATGGTAAACATTGTCTTAATATCGTTAACATACTTATTTACAAACATAACAATAATTACAATTGTATAGTTTCGATTAAATATTTCATAAAACTAAAAATAACAAATTGCTTAAATCTCTCGTCCACCTGGCGGTTGTGGACAGACATGGGTCGTAAAGTTATTCACATGAAATCCGCCATCTTAGAGAGCAGGTTGTATAGTATGGATACGACTTTGGGAATGCCAGTGTTGGTATATTTTTACGATAATTTTTGGTGTGGATTTTTATTTGTTTCGTTTTATTTTTTTGTCAATAAATTGTTTTACTTTTTGTATGTGCATGTCATTATATTTTTTTGCACTTGATTGACAAGTGAAACACTCTTTGTTTTCACTCTTAGCCCAAGGTTATCTGGAAGAGATTGCTTTTTGTACGTAGTAGTTTTTATTGCTAAGCAATAATCCTTAGCTCGTTGCGGTGCTATAGCTGGAATAGCCTCAAAGTACGAAACGGTCACCCATCCAGTTGCAAGCTAACGCGTGCATTGCTTAAACTTTATTATGGATCTCGCACGCAAGCTATCACTAGGCTAGGGTCACTTCAAATTAAGTAAAATTAAAAAAAAAATCTAAATAACAAAAATATAAATCTTTATTTTGGCAAAAAGAATTGTCAAACATTTTTTATAATAACATTCAAATGTTAATTAAAAATATAAAAAGCAAAGAAAAATAACTAATTTGTATTTCATTTTAATTTTATGTTCATGATTACAATTATTAAAGAAGTCACCACAGAAAGTATCCATACTAGCATAGCTGGGTACTACGTCATACTTGGTGCTTTTTGTAGTGAATGTGTAACTTTTAGTTGATGATTTCTAACATAATTTTGTATAAAAGATGCCTTATTTGTTTTGTTTTTAACTTAGAAAATGTTATTATATTTAGGAATGTACATTCACATGTAAATAAATTACAAAATTGTTCGTTACAAATGCAAAAGTTTGAAAGCATTTTTTTAGGGTCACTTTTTTCAAGTGTTTGTTACAACTCGTTCATTTCTTAATAACTGAATAGTTGTAATGTTTGAAACTGTTTATATTAAGAACAAAGACCAAACTATAGCATAAGTTAAGATTTATAGCCCATTGTGCCTCAGGTGTCGTCGATATTGAAGTACAAAATGTGCCTTTTTTTGTGCCTGTTTCGGGTCATCTTAAGTGGCCCACATTATTGTAGAGCTTGTGGTGTGAAAAAACTGTACGTAGAGTTGTGTTTTTTTTATTCATTATTGTAAAGTGTGTTATCGTATAGTAAATGAAGGAAATATTTATTGAAATAATTGCTTAATTTTTTAATGATTACATTTTATATTCAACAAACTAGAAAAAAATCGCTTCTAGCAATTTTACCACCAAATTTATAACATACCAAAAGGGTGAACGTACACATTTACACATATTTTATTAGCTTATTTAACAGTAATTCTAACAACGTATCATATTATATAGTTCCCATACATAAATATTAAGATATTGCCATTTTAATGACACGCGCCACGTAGGCAATATAACACTCGTTTAGGGTTTGACAGATGCGCCAAAGCGGCTATTTTGGCCCGGACTGCTGAGAGGATATAGGGGTTGAGACAACCTTATTTCTTACTTTTACCACCAAGCAGCATTGAAGTGATTCGATTTGAATGGTAAGATAACTAAAATAATGATGTACATTTCAGCTTAGCTCCCAAAGATAACCGTGCAATTATAACCTGTTGCAGGTGATAACGAGCTACCATAGCCATTTGCCATTATGTCACCATTTCCTTTTCAATATATAATAAACTAGCTGTAGCCGTGATATCAGTCCGCATGGACGTTCGTAAAGTTGTTTCGTTAATTTATTGTATATTATTAAAGTATACTATGAAGTATGAGAATACTTTATGACAGATCAATTTATTAGAGATAATTAATAAATATTTTTAAATCCTATGATCGCATTTCATACTTAAGATAACGTTTATATTTTAAGTTATTTGAAATATGTAAGAAAACTATTTTTACTTACATTTTACACTAAAAATAAATGAGAATTTGAAAAATAACACATTTATGACCCAGCCGCCATAATGGGCCTTCCAGATTTTGAAGCACTTTTGGCAATTTACTTTTCACTTTTTATACCACAAATTACGTGTTCACTATATTACAAGGAATATAAAAAAGTATAATACTTTCGTTTTTAGTCCAGACACAATTATAAAATTCTATAAAAAAGACGGAGCACCTTCATCAAAACGAAACGTGGAACGCCGAAAGTTCAGAGTGATTTCTTTTTTTTTTTTCTAAGAAACATTGCCAGGTTATGATTTAAAATAAAAGAGCATATCTTTGTCTTTGATACTATTATCTATTGCATATTGTCTTTGGTTTTGTCTTAAAGGAAAAAGTAGTTTTTTCATAAGGCAGTACTTCTGATATTATCTGATCTAATTAGCCCCGTACTAGAGCGGACGTAAGGTAGGTATTGTATGATCTGATTAGATTGGTAGCCGAGTGAAAGGGTTTTTAGGTAAAAGATTTTTTTTATTACTGTTTTTAATAAAAGTTAAGTTTATATTGCCAATTAAAAATGGCGGCATGGTCTGGTATTTATTATAATAAATATTATTTGATTAAAAAAAATATGCTTTTCATTATTTTATTAAATATTTAACCTATTTTTTCATAACAAAGTAAACTTCCGTCATAATAAGATATTATCTAGAGAGAAAAGATGTTAATGTTTTAACCGTTTATACTTCTTATAGTTTTTAAATAGAAAAAAGGCATAAAGAGTACTTATTTTTAGTATTCAACAAATTAATTTGGTGAAAAAAAGCATGATATTACTTCTTTTTCAGGCTGAATTCATTCTATGGTGATGTATTCACGAATATTTTTTCTAAAATTATTAATTTTCTAAACAACATTGGTGCATCTATTCATAAATTTCTCTTGTAAAAAAAGAGGCCAATAAAGAGTAGCGTAATTTTAATAAAAGTTTATATCTAATTAAATATTAACTTCTACTTTTAGCTTGTAAAAGTAAAGTAAAGTTACAGCCTATATACGTCCCACTGCTGGGCTCAGGTCTCCCCTCATTTCTGAGAGGGTTTAGGGCAAGGAAGTGTCCGCCGCGCTGCCCAAATGCGTGTTGACGAACTTCACATGTTTTCGAAATATTTTTTTTTTCTTATTCCTCAGACATGCAGGTTTCCTCACGATGTTTTCCTTCACCGCCGAGCACGTGGTAAATCAGCACTTAAAATTGCAATTAACAATTTCATTAGTGCCGGCGGGGATCGAACCCGGGTTACTCGCGTTCTGTTATATTTACAGCGGGCGTTAACCACTGAGCTACCACGGCTCACTTTTAGCTTGTACAATTAAAGAAAATAATATTTTTTGACGCAATTTTTCATTAATAAGGTGAAACTGCCAGATTTTTTAATTAAAAGATATAAAGAAAGAACTAGTTTTTTCGCTCTCCTGTAAAATGTACTTTTAACACTTATGCTTTTGATTTTCTTCTCAAGGTACGATATAGTCACTAATTTATTGCTTTACTTTAATTTTATAAACTACACCACTTAACTACGTTCTAACATAAGTAGTAGTAATGTTTCAGAATGTAACCTTCTCAATGAAATCATTTATTACTATTTTTCATTTAATGTTGAAAATTCAAGCCCCACTCTCCTGACAGAACATTTTTAAGTTTCGATTAAAATTATTGTATCTTCGGTGAATGTTAGGAAGCTAATACGCTATAAGCTAATACTTTATGCATCATAGAGCAACTCATAAGGATCATGCTACAAACAAAAAAAAATTGGGAAAAATCCTACAATTACATTTTTTTAATGTTAGGCTGTTTAGGGTGAACATTTTCAAAAAAAGGATTAAAAAAATCATAACTCGAAAACTACAAAAAATCGCGTAACATACATAGGGTATTTTCGGATACCCCTAGGTGTGAGGAATCCAAAAAAAAATTTATAACCTCACTGTTTGGACCATCCTGTATACGATCCCACTCAAAGAGGCATTATATTGACGAAAGCAAGAGTGTGACTGACCTTCACAAGGATTATGTAGAGATGTGTAAAAAAATAATTCTCCTTATGGAAATTATATAATGTTTTACCGCATTTTCTCACATGACTTCAATATTTCATTCTTTATACAGAAGAAAGATCTGTGAGAAACTTGCAAAGCGTTTAAAAATAGTAATGATGAAGAAAGAGAAACACTTAAAGAAAATTATGAAAAACATCATAAAGAAAAAGAACTATCACGTGCCGAAAAAGAAAAAGACAAAGCTAACAAGAATGTTAATGTGGCTGTGTACGATTTACAAGCAGTGCATCAGTGCCCAAAAGGAGAAATCTCCGTTTTTTACTACTTATGTAAGCTTAACGTACTAAACTTTACAATTTATGAGCTGCATACAAATATTGTGGAATATTATGTATGGGATGATTCTAACGCAAAGAGGCGTTAACGAAATTGCGACTTGCGTTTATAGGTACTTGGAAGCAATGAATAACACTGGCACAGACATTGATGTCATATTTTATTCGGATAATTGTGCAGGTCAAAAAAAAAAACAAATTCATGATTTCCATGTACCTACGTGCGCTGCAAAGGTTACCAAATACCAAATATCAGGTCAAAACCCACAAGTACTTGATTAAAGGTCGTACCCAAAACGAAGGGGATTCGGCTCATTCACAAATTGAGAAACAAGTTAAAAGGCAGTTAAGAAGTGGCCCAATGTACACGCCTGATGTCTTCATCGGTGCTATCAAGGCAGCCAGAAAGAAGAGTGAACCTTTTCGAGTAAATAAAATGTGTTATGACGACATCTACGGCTGGAAAACGTATGTACTCAAATGGGTGTAATGCTGCAGAAAGATGATGAAAACCAGCTCGCTAAGATTGGTGAGATGAAGATAATAAAGCTCTTGAAAAATGAACCTCGGGTTATATACTTCAAAAGGTCATACTCCGAAGAGGAGTACAAGAAAGCGGTAGTCATAAAGAGACGAAGGGAGATAGATGTTATCGTATCAAAAGCATATGAGGATAAGCCCGGAATATCAGAGAGAAAAACAGATCTAATGGAATTAGTAGAAAAAAATCTCATTCCAAGATATTATAGATCATTCTTTGAAGCCTTATAATTTTTTACGTGTAGCTATGTTTTAATTTACTTTTAGTTCTACTTTCAGAACGATTCGAACTATTGTGATAATTAATAGTATGATGATACATAAATTATGACTGACTTTATGATCTCATAGTTTTTAATATTATAATAGAAAACATCTTAAACAAATTCAAGTAGTTACTATAGCCATAAGTTATGTCAAATAAAACAAGATATTTTTATTATTGTAAAATAAGAAAAGCTACAACTATTATTGTGTTCAAGTCACTGTGTTACAGTATAAGTTCAAAAAAAAATAAATAAAAATCTACAAAAAAGTATTTCAATCAGTTACACCTAACAAAAGAATAACACAATACGAGTATCACCTAAAATGTGTTATCTTATAAAGTTACATAATATATTTTAAGTTTTTTCAGGAGCAACGTGATAAATCATAATTTTTTACAATTTTTCTTATTGAAATGGTTTTTTCTCGTAAAATATGTATGAAGAATATAGTTTACTTCTAGCTCTATGAAAACTACATTACTTAAAAAAAATCACATAAAACTTTACTATAGAATTTTAAAAACAAGGATAACACACTCATTTGAAACCTTTAAACTCGTTTTCTGAAAAGTCAGGATTTTTGAGATAAAACAGTGTCGCAGCAAATGAACGATATATACTCTAAGACCCGTCACATATCACTGGTTTTTAAACTTAAAAACAAAAAAAATGCCACCCAGTTGTTACGTCGTAACATGTGCGCATCGCCATACATATCCTCGGACTTCATATGAGTGACGAAACAGTCACGGTGACAAAAAAACACCAGTGCGCGGTAGCTCTGAGACTGTAAATGAATGCTGCGATCCACAGACATCTACATTTATCTTTGATCATGAATCAGAATTCTACCGTGCTGTCACTACGGGAACTAAAATACAGAATTTTGTACGTGGTAGAGCCGTGATGCAGTTATATTAGTAGTATATTTTTAACATACATGTGTCGGCTCGACCGGGGAAGGAACACGCTCTCACATAATACCAGCGTAAAATAGTAGCTTAAAACTGCTGTGTTTCGTATGGTGAGTGTAGAGAATAGGAGACCCTTTTTACTAGAAAGGAAGCATTCTATCTTAGTCTTCACCGGTGACAACGCATCTGCATTTTGATTTGTATTCGAGGATAGATGTAGATGTCTATGGACCGCAGCAACCACTTACCAACAGGTGGACTATGTGCTAGTTTGTCACCCTATCCTACAAAAAAAGAACGTATTAATTATAATTATTATTTCCATATAGGTTACAAGTATTGAAATAATGCTATGTGGATGAATAGCACTGGGGGCCGCGGGTTTGAATCCCAAACGGAACAGGTATTTGTTGGCCAATAAATAATTTTGGTGAAAATTATTTCTGTAAACTGCCTCCACGTTACGAAAAACCTAGTGCGAAAGTGACGTTTATTTTAATAAAAAAGAACGTAAGTTATTGTTGATGTTCCATACCTATATCGAGATCAATCAAGCTAACACCCCACTTAATAGACAGATACCTGCAGCTCACTGGACACCTACAACCAATGTTTGACAAAAATAACAGAATTGTTTCGTCTCAGGACTAAAATAAAATACCTGACACTATAAATCACAACACTCCTAACACTGCTTCCTCATATTATAGATGAAACATATTTACTATGCGACCGAACCTTATTCGGCGTTAGAAAAGAAAGTATTTTTTTCAGGGATTAAACCTATCAAGGTAAACTTGGAAAGTAAAATGTAAATAATACAACAACTGCTTAGTTAAAGTATTAAGATATAAGTTGCTGTAAGCAGCTTGTCTCGTCTTTTCTTTTGTTTCTTTTTTCCTTTGACACCCGTTATCGTAATTAATAAATTTTGTAACGCAACTGTTACCTGTTATACAATTTTAGCAACTATCGTGTTGTTATGTATGTGATAACTACGTGGCAAGAGTTTACTATGGTATTGATTTTTAAGAACATTTTTTTTGTTATTCCTATACTAGGATTTTCTCCTGTATCGTGGAGACAGTTTATAAGAAAATATTGCACAAGGACAAACATCCAGACATGGAACAATTATTTGTTTTCAATACAAATAGTTAAGACTACAAATAAATGTTGGATTCAGTGCGCGATTCAATTATCTAGTGAACTCGCCGTGTTTATTTTTATTATTTTGTAACTATAGTACTATCACTGATAGTATAAAGTAGTAGTAACTAGTAGATAACTATTATGAATCTGATAGTCAATCAGATTGATAATATTTTATGTGGCCCTATACATGATATTTTTTAAGTTCGTAAGTTTTCTGCAGTTTATATCCGCTTTGCCCACATATTTTTTGTATATTTTCCAAACTGATGTCAACGAATTAAAAGTCTAACCGGTTTTTATCACCCACAATGCGAAACACAACAGCATTACGCTACTATTTTACGCTGGTGTTCTGTGCGAGCGTGGTCCTTTCAAGTGCAAACCAATTCATTCGTGCTATAGTCACATAATGCAATACCTTACAACGTAGTACAAACACTTACAGAAAATAACATTTTGCTTTCGTCAATACATTTCTTTCATTTCTTAGGAGACAATGAAAAAAATCTTTTTTATTTAAAAAGTTTTCAAACACCTTTCTTAGTTGCGAGTAGATATCTATAGATATAAGGTTCAGATTTTTGTTTTGTTTTGTTATATTATTGTCATCACATCGATGTTTTTATTTTAAAAATATAAAGAAGTTGTTAAAAAATTAACTACAGTATCATCTATCGGCTCTATATCTTATTGTCTTAATAAAATATATTGTGTTAATATGACCGGGAATAACCTCTTCGATAATCCCTAATGGCCAATGGAGAGGCGGCGTATTCTCCTTGGTAAACACAACCACAGTTCCGACAGTTAAAGGTTCAGTTGCTGTGTTCCATTTTTGCCGAGACTGCAACGTATGCAAGTATTCAATCCTCCATCGTTTCCAAAACGATTGCACCAACCGGTCTAATAATTTATGGGTGGGGAAATGCTAAGTTTGTTCTCGTCCATATCTACGGTGGGCAAATACTTCAAAGGCGTTAAATTCAAAAAATGTGCTGGAGTTAGAGCCAGCGGCTCTGAGGGGTCACTTGACAACGTACGACAAAGTAGGCGACTATTCATGACGCACTCAATTTGAGCGAGCACAGTACTTAACTCTTCGAAGGACAAAATTTGATCTCCTATTACTCGGTATAAATTACTATTTAGACTCTTAACATTAGTCTCCCAATCTCCCCCAAAATGACTCGCAGCTGGGACGTTCAGAGACCACTCTATGCGGTTCTCGGCTAGAATGTGAGCGAACTCCGAATTATAATACTTGCTAGCTAAGAGCTCATGTAGTTCTAATAAAATACGTTTCGCACCGACGTAGTTCGTACCATTATCCGAATACATGTAGGTTTGACTTGAGTCAAACCAACGCAGCGCACGCGCCGGCATCGTGATATCGGAGAGGAGCGGGAAGACAGTGCGAGCGGCGCTGCCGAGCCGACAGTACGCACGATATGTACTATAAGATTATAACCTCATAGCTCGCGCCTTTGACACTGTATAAACAAATAGTGATTGTACTTGTTGTTGATTCAGGTATTTAGCATTACATCGTCTTTGTAAAAATATGTCTCCTGTATGTAACGTGTATTATTCATAAGTACTAATGTGTTTTGTGATTAAACTTGCAGTTATTACTCGCATCAACAGCCGTACTTATTGCCATATCCCACCTAAAGGAATAAAAGTCCTGATTTCCGACTTACATACAATTTACTTACAGGACCACGGCGGGAAAGAAATCTTTTAAATGCACCCATAAAGCCCGCTGTACTTAGATAGTTCAGAGCCTATACTAGCGATCTTCGACCCGACACTTCCAATATATATTTTTACAGACGCATCTAAAGAAGGTGTCGGAGCAATCTTAAAACAACCGCAAAAAGATAATTCTCTCAAACCTGTATTTTACTTTTCAAAAAAGCTGACTCAGTCACAAAAAAAATAAACGTGCTATTTTTCTAGAATGTCTGGCCATAAAAGAGTCAATACTATATTGGCAATACTACTTGATGGGTCATAAATTTACCATTTTCTCAGACCATAAACCTCTTGAAAATTTCAATGTAAAAAAAAGCCAGGACCCAGATTTGTTACCTATACTAAACTTTATATCAAACTTCGATTTTAACATAATATACAACCCCGGAAAGAATAATATAGAAGCAGATTTAGACGACGACGATAGAGCCTTTCACGAAATCCGGTTTTAGAAAATAACAATACTAATGAATCTACTATTAAAACAGTAAACTTTGTATCGTTGGATGATGTAAAGAACAACCAAAAACAATTACACACTGAAAATGAAACGTTTCAAACTGAAAATAACATTTATTATAAAACTATGAATAATAAAAAGAAAATCTGGATTACAGAGGATGTCGGTATAAACCTGATAAAAAAAATCCACAGTAACAGCCACATAGGTGTGAAACAAATAACCCTAACTTTGACACCGACATATTATTTTAAAAACATGCACAAACATATAAAACTCGTATGTCGAACATGCGACACATGTATAAAAAATAAGTCAAGATTCGGAAATTTTATTCAACCCCTGTCTCAACTAGGTCCAGCTACGGAACCGTTTCAGATAGTATCTTTGGATACAATAGGAGGGTTCGGAGATAATAGATCACCAAAAAAGATACTTGCATTTAGTAATAGATCATTTCACTAAGTTTGCTTTCGCGCTAACACCAAAAACTCAAACGGCAAAAGATTTTATTAATTTAGTAAAAAAAAATACAATAAAAAATACAAAATTAAATTACTTTTAACAGACCAATATTCCGGTATAAACTCCAATCAATTCAAAAACTTTCTGAAATTCGAAAACATAAAATACATATTTACAGCTGTGGATTGCCCTTTCTTAAACGGGCAAAACGAA